TGCGGATGATACTAAACTGGGAGGAGTGGTTGATACGCTGGAGGGCAGGGATAGGATACAGAGGGCCCTAGACAAATTGGAGGATTGGGCCAAAAGAAATCTGATGAGGTTCAATAAGGGTAAGTGCAGGGTCCTGCACTTAGGACGGAAGAACCCAATGCCCAGCTACAGACTAGGGACCGAATGGCTAGGCGCCAGTTCTGCGGAAAAGGACCTAGGGGTGACAGTGGACGAGAAGCTGGATCTGAGTCAGCAGTGTGCCCTTGTTGCCAAGAAGGCCAATGGCATTTTGGGATGTATAAGTAGGGGCATAGCGAGCAGATCGAGGGACGTGATCGTTCCCCTCTATTCGACATTGGTGAGGCCTCATCTGGAGTACTGTATCCAGTTTTGGGCCCCACACTACAAGAAGGATGTGGATAAATTGGAGAGTGTCCAGCGAAGGGCAACAAAAATGATTAGGGGTCTGGAACACATGAGTTATGAGGAGAGGCTGAGGGAACTGGGATTGTTTAGTTTGCAGAAGAGAAGAATGAGAGGGGATTTGATAGCTGCTTTCAACTACCTGAGAGGTGGTTCCAGAGAGGATGGTTCTAGACTATTCTCAGTGGTAGAAGAGGACAGGACAAGGAGTAATGGTCTCAAGTTGCAGTGGGGGAGGTTTAGGTTGGATATTAGGAAAAACTTCTTCACTATGAGGGTGGTGAAGCACTGGAACGCATTACCTAAGGAGGTGGTAGAATCTCCTTCCTTAGAAGTTTTTAAGGTCAGGCTTGACAAAGCCCTGGCTGGGATGATTTAATTGGGGATTGGTCCTGCTTTGAGTAGGGGGTTGGACTAGATGATCTCCTGAGGTCCCTTCCAACCCTGATATTCTATGATTGTAAGTCTCTTCAGCTACCTTCACAGTGGATTTAGTTTATAGGAGCAGTTCTCAACTCTAAGGAGGTCAGACCATTTCTTCCAGAAGATATTTCTGAAACTTCTATCTGCCAAAATGGTGACCCATCAAAATCCTACTTGGAAAGAACAGTAAAACCCTGTTTATCTGACCATCCGTTATCTTTGGCTCTGTGTTAACCAGAGAACCAGCAAACACAGGTCTAGAAGGGGGTGATATCTCCTGTGGGCACTAGAGGGTGCAGCAGCATTGCACTTTCCCATTCTTTGAAAGAAGAAAAGGAGTACTTGTGGCACCTGAGAGATTAACCAATTTATTTGAGCATAAGCTTTCGTGAGCTACAGCTCACTTCATCGGATGCATATTGTGGAAAGTGTAGAAGATCTTTTTTATACACACAAAGCATGAGAAAATACCTCCCCCCACCCCACTCTCCTGCTGGTAGTAGCTTATCTGAAGTGATCACTCGCCTTACAATGTGTATGATAATCAAGTTGGGCCATTTCCAGCACAAATCCAGATTTTCTCCCCCCCCCCCCCCCCAAACCCACTCTCCTGTTGGTAATAGCTTATCTGACCGATCAGGCCCTGGTCCCAATTAGATCAGATAAACAGGGTTCTTCTGTATGTTCTTTTAAAGTTTAATGGGCCTTGTGTCTTCAACCACTTGTGTTGTTCTTTATGCTCAGCTCAGAGTGAGAAGTCAGCAGCACTGACTGGCGTTAAATTACAGACCAACTATAGACAGCACATTCACAAGATTGATTACCCTAAAAGAGACACTGCTATCTTTGACATGGACTCAGTGTGCCAGTGGCCTTGGAGTAGTGTTTATCCTTCTAGCTCTGTTGAAAACAATCACCTTCGTTTCCTCCAGCCAGGCATGGGGAGCACATTTCAACTAGTTAACAGTTTGAGGTAAATGGAATACTCAGGAAAGGAGACTGCGGACAAATATCCTGGAACTGAGAACAATTCATTGGGTTCTCAAATCTTTTCCATATTGCATCGGAATGAGGTACTGCATGCAGGCCATCACACACAACATGACAGCAATGTATTATGTTAACTGACAGCGAGGGGTTCACTTTTCTTTGTTATGCAAGAAAGCAGTGACATTATGGGACTGGAGTATCTAGTACAACAGCAGGTAGCTGTATACTTAATAGACAGTGACAACAGTCTGGTGGTGGGTGGGTCAACAGAGCAAAGATACAATGGAACTTTGAGTGGTGGTTAAAGAAATTGGTGATAGACAAGATCTTCACCCTTTGGGGATTTCTGGACATAGATCTGATCATGATCAGACAGAATTCAAGGTGTCCCAAGTTTTGCTTGAGAGCAGGGAAAATCAATCTACCCATATTGGACTCTTTTCTCCTGAACTTGAGGAAGTGTCTGTTCTATGCTTTTCACCCTTCCCTCTCATCCATTTTGTGATTAAGTAGATAAGACAGGATGGAGCAAGGATAATTCTGGTTGCCCACCACTGCCATGGCAACAGTGGCACTCGGACTTCTTCAGCTCTCCAGTGAGTATACAGACCTCTCCTGGTGTTACTGAACTTATTAACTCAACAGGAGAACACATTTATCATCTGGACCCTTAATCACTCCACCTGACTGCATGGGCTATAGGACTTGAATGGTCCTTGGAAAATCTTGCTCTTTAGAAGTGCAGGAAATATTAACATTAGAAAACCAGCAACAATCACAGGAGGACTAGATTTGTGAAGTGAATAAGAGAGAAACATATTGATCAACATTGGCGCACCAGTACATTATATTATTGAATACTTGGTTCATTCAAGTCTTCCAGGTCTTTCTATTTCCTCCTTTAAAGGATATGTAGCAACTATAGTCCACTGTGCATTAACAGATAATAAATCTATCTTGGCACAAAACAAAGTCAAGAAATTTATGAAGGGACATGCCAATATGCAACTGCCTATAAAAGACCCAAATACCATCTTGGGACCTCAATTTAGTGCTAATGCAACTCATGAACCTCAGCTGAAAATGCTTCTTGAAGAAGAGAAAGAACTATAAGAAGGGACAATAGACACCTCAAATGATCTCTTCCTCTCTACCCACGACATGCACAAGACCTGAAGCAGCATTGGACTTAGGGAGGGATCCTGACTGAAGGAGATTCATCCAGTTAGACTGCTGAAATGTGGTGAGAGAGACTTCGCTTTGAATTCACTTCAGTGGTTAAGTTAGGCATTAGATGCTTTTTATTTTTATTTTTCTTGTAATCTGTTCTGACTCTTATACCCTCGTTACTAGTATTCACTCAATCTATCCTTTTGTAGTTAATAAACTTGTTTTATCTAAACCAGTGTGTTTGGTTGAAGCATTTGGGAAACTCCATTTGGGATAACAGGATTTGTGCATATAATTTTCTATTAATAAAATGACAGACTTTATATGAGCTTGTATTGTCCAGGAGAGAGCTAGGCAGTTCAAGACTTACATTTCTGGAGAAAGTTTGGGGCTGGGAATTTGCTGCTGTTGCTCTGCAGTGTAATTCAAGTGTGGCTGGCTATCGCACTACTACAATATAACTGGGAGTAACTTACATGCTGGAGACTGTGTGTGAGCAGACCAGGAGTGGTACCTTTCACAGCAAAGCAGTGTAAAAGGCACCCCAGATTGGAGAACTGAAGGGGCACAGTTGTTCATCAGTCCAGATTGTACCCTGGATAATGTCACAGTCGATCAGACACTTAATTTGGTAGAGCAGTTCTACAGTTCCTGTTCAATCAGGACTCTGAGTCCCACCTTGTTTGTGAGGTACAGCTTGCCAAACTGTCCTGTGAGTGGGAGTATGTAGAGGATGGTCAAACAAATGAAGATTGGTTACTTGTAGCTGGAATTCTTTGAGATGAATTCTGTATATTCACATTCCTTCCCCACCTTTGTTGGAGTTCTAATAGAATTCTGACTCTGAGGAGGTTAAAAGAATAAAATGAGATGGCAAAGGGTGCCCCTTTTATAGCCTTGTCCTCAAAATGTTCAGGAACACAGAAGGGGAAGAGTAGGAAGGGTGTATGAATTTTCCAATGGGTACTGCTGTGAGAAGGTTCCCCCTTCTGAGTTGCATCTCCCTGCCCATCCCATGAGTATGACCATTTAGAATCCATCTTGAAGAACTCTGGTTACATGTAAGTAACCTTCATTTCTTTTCTCAAGGATAACGGTGAGAGAAACTGAAGCTCAGAGAGGGTCCCCATGCAAGGGGACCTAATGCACTCAATTCCCTCTGATTTAAATGGAGGTGAATGTCCTCAGCACATCACAGGATAGGCCATAAGTGAGGGAGCTGTTGTGGGGACACTGATTGCATGAAATGGTTGATTGTCTTGCTTATCTTTTAAATAGTGTGGGGATTCATGCAGCAACACTGTGTTTGACAGAACTCTTTCAACATGCCCATGTGCTTTTTACTACCATGGCTGCACCAGTGCATTCTGAGTCTCCTCAGTACTGTTTTTGAGAGCAATGCTTATAGGTAACTTCAGAAAGTAAGGCCAGTCTGAATTGTGGGATGGAGTTAGGCTAAATCATTGAATTAGCGCAGAAGTAATGATATTTTATGGATTCCCCTCTGCACTGGTAAGAAACTATTGTAGCCTTCACTGCATTAGTCACGTGTGAACTATAAAGCTTGCCCCAGCTGTGGCCACCCACTGGTACAACTAGCACCTTTAATAAAACAACCAAAAAACCCCCAAAGCCCACCAACAACACAGACAGCTGCTATCTGTGAATATGGGGCATATATGTGTTTCAACCAATGGTATAGACAAGGCCATAATTCTAGCTAGGATAATATGGTTATTCTCTTTGTTTTTGTAAAAGTAGCATCAAACCTTATTATTTTTCTTTACTTAATCACTAGTTAGTCAGAAGGGACCATGTCTTCATTGTTTCTTCTTAAGGAAGGCCCCTCTAATGATGCATAATTGTTTATGAATTACATTTAGACTCAATAACCAAAACCAAAACTCTGCAATGCAGCACACAAGCTCTACTCAGCAAAAAATGTTAAGTTTTAGTTGTCCGTTGTGTGAAACACAATTTTACTCATTTTACAGGCTGATCCAATTGATTATGTTGAAAGTCTTTGTGAGAACATACATATCTTTTGTAAGGAGGACTTTTTGACAGGCGATCAGCTTCTGCTTGAATACAAGCCTGAAGTAAGTAGCACTATAGCTTTCAATGTGTATATTTGAGCTGGATAATTTATTTATTGAGGGTGTACAGGGAATTTAAGCATATTGAATCAGGTTTTCTAGATTAACTGGATCACTTTTATACTTTTTGGGTGCAGAAAACTAATTGCTTGGTTTAGGATTTTATTTGTAGTCCTTTGTCTTCTGAACTTTTGGAGTAATTTAAAAATACAGTTGGACAGGAGTAGCTAAAGTTGCATTTTAACTGAGTTGTTATTCCTTTATCTTTGTAGATCATCGCTGATGTCCTTAACCAGCTCTGCCCTCTGAGAGCAAACCTAGTTCTGTTGTCTGCTGCCAGTGAAAGAGAATGTCATCTAAAGGAGAGATGGTTTGGAACACAGTACAGTGTGGAGGGTAAAATGAACTGCTAAAGCATATAGAGATCTTTTAAAGTGCTCATTGAGACCATTAAAAAGGTGACAGTGCAACGTGCAACCACACAGGAGTGAGAGTGGGAGGATGAAGTCTCAGCTGTGATCCTGACTTCATTATGAGTCAGTAATGGCTTGGTTGCTTTGTGCTTTGGCAACTCTCTTCTGTTTAGCATTAGCTGAGTCCAGCCCATCTGTCTTGAAGGGCAGAGTCTTTCTGATGAAGGAGAAAGAGGGATCGTAGTGAGCTTTCCTCCCCATCCCAAATAAATAATGAATGGTGATGAAAATACATGTATTGCAGGTCAAGACAAGATTACGATGTGGTAACTTGCAATGCTAATGCACGCTGTTCTGAGTTACTTTTAAACATGACTATTGTTTCTAATTCTGCTTGAAATGAGTTTTAAGAGGGGTGTTAAGAGGAAAGGGTGAAGGTGAGCCAAAATGGCATCAGGAAAAGAGCTCCAGTCATTCTGCAAATAGACACGCAGACAGAAACATCAGAAGGAAGGTATCTAGTTCTAGTGGTCACCAACTAGGTATTGATACAGTAGCTGCTGCCCTATTAAATCTATCTGCTGTTAATAGCCTAATTTCATGTCTTTCACAGATATTGACAAATATTGGAGTGATTTATGGGCCAGTGACTTTCAGTTAAACCAGGACTTGCACTTTCCTGAAGAAAACAAATATATAGGTGAGTGAGACACTAGTATTTGGTTGGACTCTGTCATGTTTCTCTTCCCCATTCTGCTCATTTTCAGAATGGGAGGTTCTGAGAAATGATCTTTTTCTTTTAAATGAATGTGTGGTTTTAAACTGTTCCTTTTGGAATAGAGAGAAAACATGGAATCATTTGTTTGTCTGAGCTTTTATTAAAGCATGCTTTTAATAAGTTTAAATTTTAGGGCAAATTTAATCTGAAAATGTCTGTTTTAAGATATTCTTAGTGCATGGACCATGTAGCCCAACAGAGCAGCCATGATGCACTCATGAGTAGCTTGATGCAGCTATAGACCTTAGAATCTCATCTACTGAGAGAGGCCATGTTGTTTGGTTATCCCGGTTCTTTTGGGAAAAGTAACACAGACTCTTGTAGCAACTGCATCTGTCATCAGAAGTAAAGAGGAATGAAGAACTTATCTCTTGAATGAGACTCACTAGCCTATCTGTTATTCACTTCAGGGTTGGCACTGGATATGAGCCAAAGATCTGGTATGGGATCTAAATTCATGACCTTTAGTTCCAGAAGGCAGTGTGCTATTAAATACACTATGGTGACATAGACGAGAGGAGAGCAGTTTGTTTACAGTTTTGCAAGTTGCACACTTTTGCCAGTGGCTGTGGATTTGAAATATAGTAACCCACATATTCTGTTTCTATATTAGCCACTGACTTCGCTCTGAAGGCATCTGATTGCCCTGACACGGAGTACCCAGTCAAAATTCTGAGTACACAACACGGCTGTGTGTGGTACAAGAAGGACAATAAATTCAAAATCCCCAAAGGTAACCCCCGTTCACTGATGTATTAAACAAAATGTGCAAAACAAAGCTTTTCCTATGCAATAGTACTGGCACCTAAATAGTACTGGCAATTTGTTTAGAGGTAGAACTTGTAGCTCCTCTTTTTTCCAAAATCCCAAGCAGCACAGAATGTCACTGTTGTTAAGTGCCAGTTGGCATTTTGGTTATAAACCCACTTTTGTAGGTGTTTAACTACTTATGGTGAGCATGTGGAATGCTCTTTCCAAGCCGTGTCTGTTGGGGAGTATGCAGGTTCCTAAATGCATTGTCTTACTTCACATGTCATAGTTATTATAAGGAAATGTGTACCTCTAACTGTCCCGTTTCCTCCTTCACCACTGCAGAGGACAGAAGGGATCTAGTTCTGCGCTCAGGCTGTCATCCTCCAGGGCCCAAGAAGCAGATATTCACACCTGTGTTAGCACCAGCCTCAGTAAAATGCTTGAATTCCAGGTCTTTTCAACTCAAATCTGGGCTGGGGAGCTGCCAGCACCTACTAAGACTCCTGTGCCTAAGCCAGCTATGGTGCCTCTGACTGCCTTTATGGCACCAACTAAATGGACACCTACTCCTGCCCCAAACCCTACTAAAGGGTCGGCGACATCTACTGTGGCACTGACCCATCCCATCAGGTCCAGGCACTGACTTCTTGGCCCTGGAGGATGTTTCTAAAGACCCACCTTCTGAACAGAAGGAAAAATGTATGCACTCCAGCACTGAGTATACTCAACATAAGAGGAAGAAGAAGAAGAACTGTGAATCTTAACCACCTGGCACTCTGACACATGATTCTCAGTGTCAGCATCCTCAGAGCAGCACTCACAGCTTCTAGCACTGGAGGCCATGGCCCCAAGCAGGCTGGTGTGGTGTCTGAAGAAGTTTCACCCATACAAGTCCCACAAACCCCTTCTGTTTCTCCAGGCCTTAGCCCTAGGCCCCTTTTCAGATCGTGGCTACTCCCTTGTACACCAAAGATATTCCCGGTTCTGCCCCTCAGGCCTGACTACAGAATCCCAGAGCCTCTTTAACGAGAAGCGTAGTAAAAGTACTTGAGAAGATCATATCCAGCAGGGCCACAGCTAGATCTTTTGGCCTTCCCCAGCCCTACAGTTCTTCTGAGACGCATTCATCCTCTACTTCTGGGGGAATTCTGCGCCACTGTGCATATGCAGAATTCATGTCCCCCGCAGATTTCTTTGTTTCCCTGCAGAAAAATGACTTTCTGATAGGGAAGCAAAAAGAAGGTGCAAGGGTGCTTCTGGGACAGGCCAGGCCTTGTGCTTTGTCAGGGTCAAGTGCAGTCTCACCACAGAGTCTGTGTCCCTGGGTTGGGGAGGCTGCAGGGTGATCTCCCACCTTTGTGCAGCCAGTGACCTGTGCTCCCCACTGCCATGCTGGAGCCTCTGTATTTATTTATTGACCAATAAAACTTGCAGAATTTTTCATTTTTTAGCACAGAATGCCCTCAGGAGTAATCCTCCTGTCGGCTTTCCAATTGCAAAGCAGGATTAATCAACAACTTTTTAGACCTACTACTTTCAAAGGAGGTTCTAATCACACCCAACACAAGCCTACCAGAGGAGACCTCAACATTAGAAGAACAAAAACCTCCATCATTCCTCAACACAATTCACCTCCTCTTCTTTCAAGCAGCAGCTCTGATGATATGCTCAGGAGCAAAGTGACCATCTCTAGTTTCTCATCCAATAGCTCTGCATCTGATAAGAGAAAACAATGTGTAAGCAGAATCTCTTAGCAGGAGGACTCAGAACCAGCATAAATGGTCCTCAAAAGCATCAGTGACTTCCAAGCTTTTCAGGAAGTGGGCATATCCAAAGGTGGACCTATTTGAATCTCAGGACAATACCTTATTGCCCGCTGTAATGAATGAAAGCATGCAGAGACGAAGTAATGGACACCTTCCTGATGGAGTAAAGCAAAAGACCTCATTCTCAGAGTGCAATGAAAAGTCAAGGACAGATCAAAAGTCAGTCTGGTAGCCCCAGCATGACCCAAACAACACTGGTGTGTAAACCTGTTATAGCTGTCCAGAGAATCACCTCTCTTTCTGTCACTGTCTCAAAATCTCCTATCTCAGAGAAGTGGACAAGTACTCTATCCCAATCGAGAGACAGACTCTTTGGCAACATAGAGGATAATTTGCTGATCATCACAGACAAGTCATGTTCAGAGAGGGTGAAAACTACACTGCTTCACTCCAGGAAAAGCTCTACTTTTAAATGCTTTGCCCATAGATGGAAAGGATTTTCCTCTTATTTATTGAGTCAACAATTGGTCCCATCACAAGCTAAGATATCTCTCATTCTAGACTATGTGCTCCATCTAAAGTCTCATGGATTCTGCTTCTTCTTTGAGAGTCTACTTGTCATCTATATCAGCAAACCACCAGTGTGTTAAGGGAAGGCCTTTTCTTCTCACACACTATGGTTGCTAGATTCTTAAAGAGACTTGATGATGTATTCCCTCCTACAGGGGAACCTCACCCTTCCTGGGACTTTTTATTATATACTATTTGTGTTACCATAGTGCCTACGAGCCATTACAATGTCAGGATCCCATTGTGCTAGGTGCTGTACAAAGAACAAAAAGATAGTACCTGCCCAAAAACCTTACAATCTAAGTATAAGAGAAGAGACAACAGATGGGTATAGACAAATGGGTGAGTATAAGGCAATATCAAAGATTCAGGGAAGTCCTCAAGTTAACTGTAAGAGATTGTTGTCAACTGCTGGGACACATGTCATCTTGAGTCTTTGTAGTCCAGCATGCCAGATTACACCTCTGAGATCTACATGGAGGGCTTTGAACAGTTTACAAACCAAACCAACACAGACTAGGCAGGTTACTGTCATTTCCCCGGTGTGTTCTACAATCACTGAGCTGGTGAGAGGAACTGATCAAACCCTGCACAGATGTTCCATTCTTGCAGATTCCCCCTACTACAATAACATCAGATGCTTCACTTTAAGACCATGGAGCACACCTGGGAACTCAGGGTACAGGGAAAATGCATAAAGATGGGTGTCACCGTATTCGAGGATATCCCCCTGGCGCCCAGCCCGTGATACCTCCAGGTCCCGCTCCTTGTCCCGGTACCAGCCTCAAAGTGCGAGGCGTGGATCGTCGGTCTTCTGTCGCGGATCCGCCAGTCACCGAGGTCCCCATGGAGGCGCATGTTCCGTTTGGACAAGTCCTCCTCTAGGTGCAACTACGATTATCACCAGGCATGGATTCACCACTCCAGTGAATCCTGGTCACCAAGGAGCAATCGGTCTGGATATGGCTCTAATACGGTGCAAGGCTCCACATGGGGCAGCCTCCCAGACTCTCGGTGCCGCCTGCATTGTCGGTACTGAAACCCCCCTGTGGTACCCTAGGAACCCATGGGGGTTCACTCAGCCCTTCCAGCCTGCCCGCTCGGTGTCGGGTGCCTCGGACAGGCCGGTGGTCTCAACGACCCAACTCCCTCTGGTGCTTGAGGCCCCAGGGGATAAGACCATGCAAGTCCATGTGGACCAAGGGGAACAGCCTGCTGGACCACCTATGGATGCCATGGAACCAGCGGTACCGGCCTCCTCCTCTTCGTCACCAGATGAGGCCATCACGGAGCCCCCTCAGTCGGTTTCTCAGGATGACGCTAAGGCACACCAGGAGCTTTTGAAGAGGGTCTCATCCAACCTTGGCCTGCAGGTGGAGGAGTTGGAGAAGCAAGCGGACTCCCTGTTCGACATCCTCTCCTCCACAGCCCCTGCTAGGGTGGCCCTTCCCCTCCACGAAGGGGTATTGAAGATATCCAATGCCTTGTGGCAAACCCCCCTCCTCTCTGCCCCCCATTTCCAAATGGGCAGAGCGTAAGTACTTTGTCCCGACTAAGGGGCACGAATACCTTTACTCCCATCCTGCCCCAAATTCCCAGGTGGTCGAGGCAGTTAATCACAGGGAACATCAGGGGCAATCTGGAGCTGCCTCCAAAAATAAAGACTCCAGGAGACTGGACTTGTTTGGACAGAAAGTTTATTCCTCATCTAGTTTATAGTTGAGGGTGACCAACCACCAGGCCCTCCTTTGCTGCTACAATTTTAATATTTGTCAAATCGCGGCCAAGTTCGAGAATGCCCCCCCCTTCCCCTGTAAGGTTCCCGTAAAGAATTCCGGGCGATCCTCGATGAGGGCAGAGCTGCTGCCAGGGGCGGCGCTTCAAGTGGTGTCTGATGTGCAGACTCCACTGCCTGCACCATGTGTTCACCATCTCCATGTGCCTAGCGTCCTGGTTGCTCCTCTCTGGGTTGTCCTCTGAGGCTCAGCAGTCGATTTTGGACCTCTCCTTCGATGGCCAGGCCCTGTTTGCAGAGCAGGTGGACAACAAATGACATTGGCTGAAGGACTCCCGAACCTCCCTAAAAACCCTGGGGCTCCATGTTCCGGGCCTGGCACGTAAGCAGTTCAAACCACAGCTACCCCAGGGGCAAGGGAGCCAGCCCTGGCAGGACCCGCTGCACAAAAAGCCCAAGGGCTATAGACTGCATACGAGCCACCCTCCACCACCCTCTGCCTGGTCAGGCTCAACCCACTCCAAGCAAGGAGCTAAAAAGTCAAAGGAGGGTACGACCGAGGGCGAGCTATCAGTCTAGTTTCTGGATCCGATTTTTCCCAGTTTTTTGCAACCACCTTTCTTTTTTCCTCCCAGTGTGGTCGGCGATAACGCCGTCCTCAGTACGGTGGTGTACGGCTACCCCCTCCAGTTTATTTCCACCCCCCACCCCGTCCCTCTTCAGGGACCCTTCTCACGAGAGTCTTCTTGAGCAAGAGGTTCAGGGAGAGACTGTAGTATCTCTGATACCACTGTTTAATAGTTGCTTGACAGGTGTTGATTCTTCTAATGGAGTAACTGAGGGCCGAATTTGGCACCAAAAGCATCTTACAGGTGACAGTACCTGAGAGGGAAAGAACCAAACTTGAGTTTGGAGGCCCAGTAGTTTTTAAAAAAACCAAACCAACTTCTCTTTTCCCCCTGCAAACTGAGGAAATGTGATCTGGAATCATAAATCATGAAAACTGTTTCCATTTTTGCTGTTCTGCTCAGAAACATGACTCATTTTAATTTTCAGTAAGAAGCTTTTTAAAATAGGGTATATATATAATATAGATATTTTTTGTTGTACAGCATCTTTAGGTTGTTTTAGAAAGAAAAGTGTTAACTTAATTTACGTAAGCAAACATGATGCAAACATACAAAGATATGGTATTTGTCCTGAGGAATTTTATCCTGTATAAGTATTATTTGTTGTCACCAAAAATGTGTGCTCCTTAAGTATCCTGTAATATAAAGCAATGTTTTGCAAGCTGAAGTACAACTTTATGCTTATCATTAAATCTTCAGTTAAAAAGATAATATTGAGTAAGTGTTGGAGGTGATAACTTAATACAGATAAAAATACCATCTCTGAATAACCACTTATATGTAGTTTATAGAAAATTAACTGGAGATAAGAAATGGTTTGGAGAAAAAAAATACATGTTTGAAGCTGCCATTGTTTCTACAGGTTTGAGAGGTAGTTGTGTTAGTCTGTATTAGCAAAAAGAACGAGGAGTACTTGTGTCATCTTAGAGACTAACAAATTTATTTGAGCATAAGCTTTCATGGGCTAAAGCCCACTTCATCAGATGTATGTATTTTCTATTGCATGCATCTGATGAAGTGGGCTTTAGCCCACGAAAGCTCAAATAAATTTGTTAGTCTCTAAGGTGCCACAAGTACTCCTAGTTCTTTTTATTGTTTCTACAGTTGCTCATGTCAACCTTGTTCAAATTTCAGCTTACGTATGTTTCCATCTGATCTCCCCACTGATACAGCAGTCTGCAAAGAGGTAAAGATTTATCTTTCTCTTATCTGTCTTACAGAACAAGATACAACTATAATTGTAGTATAGCATTAGCAGTTAAAATTTGTCTTCAGGTGAAACAAACAACAACCCATAGACCTTCCTTTGAATGAAACAAACCTCAAGATCATAGAAATCACAGAAATGTAGGGCTGGAAGGGACCTCAAGAAGTCATCTTGTCCATCCCTGGTGCTGAGGCAGGATTAAGTATACCTAGATCATACCTGACAGGTTTGTCTAATCTGTTCATAAAACCTCCAATGGTGGGGATTCCGCAACCTCTCTTGGTAATTTATTCCAGGACTTAACTATTCTTATGGTTACAGTGCTTTTCCTAATATCCAGCCTAAATCTTCCTTGCTGAAAACTAAGCCAATTACTACTTGTCCTACCCTCGGTGGATATGGAAAACGATTGGTCACCGTCATCTTTATAACAACCTTTTACATATTTGAAATCTGTTATCATGTCCTCTTCATCCTTTTCTTCTCTGAACGAAACATGCCCAATTCTTTCAACCTTTCCTTGTAGGTCATGTTTTCTAAACCTAAATTTTTTTTGTTCTCCTCTGGATTTTATGATTCTGTACATATTAATTCTCCATTATAGCACTTCCAATGCTAAATAAAATTGTGAGTCTCCCAAATGCCTTTACACAAATAGCATTAACACATAATTTTCTATATTACCCCAATATTCCACAAACAAATTTTACTGAAAGCTGTCATGTTGCCTAAAAAAGTCCATTATTTATACCAGGTAGGTTTTTACCCACATATCCTGCAGTAGTTGGCTTGATTGTTATACTGTTCTGAAATACTTTGTAATTTGAATAAGTTTTTCTTTTGACCCAAAAAGATTTTAAATTTAATCTCAAAAAACTACTAAGTAGCTTTGTGTGCTTACTGAATAAAGAGAAATACAGAACCCTGTGTTTCAGGTTTTTGCTTTGCCCAGAGAAAAATCTCTGTAGAAAAATAAATGTTTTTAGCTGCCCAGTGAAATAGTTTATTTCTATTGGACACTTTTTTTATCTGTGTACTGTCAAACCTATTGACTTTAAGGCTGTTTCTTTTCACTCTCCCTTGTTGTTTCCCACCCTCACTTTCTTCATTCATACAGTATGGTACTTTTTGAGACTTTTGTAAATATCCTTTCTCACAACCTTGCTGAACCGGCATACGAAGCCAATGTTGCTCAGTTGGAATATAAACTGGTGTCTGGAGAGCATGGTTTGATCATTCAAGTGAAAGGATTCAATCATAAACTACCTGTAAGTACTATTGCTATGTCCTCCTTACCTTACAGACCAACTAACCTTTTGCTGAATGTCACTTTCTAAACAACTCAAAGGCCTGAAATATTGGTGTCTTAATTTCAATTAATCTATTAATGGTTTTTCAACTATTTATTGATAATAGTTTTGCATACTATTAGTCCAGTTAACTCATGGACTTCCTGAAGAGTCGCTCAGAAACCAGCAGGATCAGTGAGTGCAGATTTGCAGGTTAACAGGGAGACATTGTGACAAAGATTGATAATGGGTGGGTAGGAAGGGAGAAAGAACCAGGCTCTTTGATGCATTGGGGCATGAAAATCCAATTAAAAGATTCTAAAAGTAAAATCTGACATACTTTATTTTATCTTAACCAAAGTTTTAAAAAAGATTATTCTTTAATTGCATGGAGTGATTAGGATATCTTTGTCATGTAATAGCAAACTAACAATGAATCAGGAAGTTGCCATCTTTGCTCTCTGAGATATATGTACCTTGAGACAGGAGAAGGGCAGCTGAGCATGTGGACACAACAAAGAGGCAGGAGTATTTTAAACATTTTGTAAGGAAAGTTGCTGTTTTGAAAGGTGCCTCACTTTGGTTTAATATTTATATATAATACCAAATAACAGAAAATATGATGTAGACCTTAAACCTCTACCTTCTTTATTGTATGCATTTGTGTGCATGCACACACTCAGCTTTCCTTAAAAAGATTTGAATGTTTGTTTATCTAGTAGATAAATGTGATTATATCCCATTACATAATGCCTTAGAACACTTATTGAAATGATACATACTTTTTTTTTCAAATAGCTAAGTATGCAGATGTGAAGAACTTTAACTTCTAATTTTCTTCACTTTAAAGCACTGGGTATGTGGAGTTATAAAGAACCTTAATTATAATTTAAGTTTTCATAGTTTTTTGTAAATACTGACCATGTCTTTCTGTGATGTGTGTGTAAATGTAATCATATTAATATCTTTTGGGGTGAGGTTTTTTTTTTTAAAGGTATGTGTTCAGTGATAAGGTCTGAAGGCCATGGAGATTTGGGGGAGAAAATTAGAAGGGGTGACTCCACTAGGGGGACTGCAGTAGGAGCACAGCTGGTGCACTCCTCAAACAGCTGTGACGTCTGATTAGCCCTTCCAGACAAAGATGGATAAGATGCAAGTTCCCCCTGATTGTAGGAGTGTCCTAGAGACCAAGGCAAATGGTGAGGGGGATCTGTGGGGAGGCATAGATACCCCATGTCATGTGAAATTGGAGTGGGAAGCAAAGAACACAGCATGGAAGAGAGCAAGAAGGGTGAGCTACCATCAAGAGAGGGAGCAGATCTGGGTCATGGAGCGTAGACAAGCAAGGGAGAAGCATGGTGATGCATTGGCTGGTGGGCAACAGGCAATGCCTAATAGGCTGTATGGGCAACAGGCTTGATGGGCGTATCAGTTGCTGACTGCTGCTGCCATTGCCTGGATAAGTATAGCTCCTGTTGTCAACAGGTGTGTTCCCAACTGCTCTTCTGTGGTACCTGCTGGTGCCTGTGACTGTTGATTATTTGTTCAGTATGACAGGGTTCCCTATCTACATGAAGAATCTTTGATATGGGATTAACTCCACCCATCGGTGGTGTAGAAGATCAGTTGCAAACGCAGCCACTGATGACAGGATCCTTACATATTGAGCAAATTATTTTCTTGGTAATGTTAACAGTAGTTCCAGCTCCCATGACTTTTTTTTTTGGTGCATAATGGGATTTCAGAAGGTGCTAGAGTTTGTCTCGTGATATCCTCCAGCCCCTTCATGAAGTTCAGCCTGCCAAAAGCTAACAGAATCTCTCCCCTCCCCTTGCCTTTCTCACAGGGATGGCGGAGAGAGCAAAGAGTCCAGCAGCTCAGTGCAGCTCTGCTCCCTCCTTCCTGGTCCGCTCTGCCTGCCATTCTCACCGGAAGGGAGGAGAAGAAGGGAGCAAAGAGCCCAGCAGCTCAGGGCAGCTCTGGCTCCTTCCCTTGCTCCCCTGTCCCCTTCTGTGAGAAAAATTGACAGGATGGTACCTTGGCTCCTCCTTCCCATTCTCCCTCCACTGCACCCTGCCTGGGAAGGGCAGAAGGGGGTAAAGAACCCTGGAGCTTGCCCCCCTTAGTCTGCAAAGGGGAAGAGGGAACCCTGCAGCAGCTCCCCTCCCCCCAGGTCTGGGAGAGGAGGGTGAAACCCCTAGAAGGAGCAGAGGTGGTGGTGGGGCAATGGGTTGTGGGGGCTGAACTGAGGAGGCTGGGGACTGATGTGGGTGCTGAACTTGGTGGGGACAGAACTAATGGGGGGATGTGGGAAAAGGATTAATTGCTGGGCATGGGATGGGTGGACATGGGGTGAGAGCTTCTGCAGCAGGGCCAAAATCACCTTACCCTATACATTTGTAAGAGTGGGCAACACTAATTCTCTCGCTTACATACACACACTCACTGTAGCTGAGGTCTGGCCTGTTATGAGTAATTAGTATGTGAAGGGAGGCCTCATGTCTGGAAGGATAGAGTTAGGAAGGTAGGATCATTAGGCTGAAAACAGAATGTTTGTGCTAAATAAGATCAGTAACTAGGTTAGTAAGCTAAGAAAACAGAATATCTGAGCCAGCTAAGGTAAGAGGAGAACACCAGGAAACCACTTACTAACAGTGGAAGAGATAAGTTAGGAATGTAGAGAGAAGGTAAAGAGTAGTTGGAGTGTGGAGAATGCATTACAGAGCATGCTGCACATGGATTCGTTCCTGAAAAGTAACCAAGTCAATCCCAAAATGTGTGGTGCAATGTAATGTGTAAATGTATATAAAGGAAGAGGTTTTCTGTGTAACATTGGATGTGTGGTACGCCCTATACCCACCATGTACACTTGGGTCTGATCAACTCAATATAGCTTTTCTGAACACCAAATAAAGGAGCCTGACTGACGAAATCTAGAGTCAAACTAAGTTTTCTGGATCCCAGAGAACTGGATGAAGTGCTCTCCCAGAACTGAACAAGGTGTTCTGGATAAACTGAGTGGAGAAGGTCTTAAAGGGTAAATGCATTCATGCAAACATGCGCATGTGCGCTCACGGCAGGGGGAGTTCAAAACTCAAAGGACAGACCTAAAAAACCATGTAATCTTCTTTTAAAAATTCATGATTTTCTGAGCCAATCTCATGATTTTTGTGTGTCTTTCTCATGATTTTTAATCTCTTGAAATTGTCAAAACTGCATTAATTCACCTAAATTACAAACACGGCAGTCAAAATATTTGTGCAATGTGGGTGAGTTTGACACTAGGAGAATCTTAACTTTCATTTCCTGAGTTTTATGCATTTAATTTATAACACTGCAATAAAACAAACTGTGAATACATTTTACATTATTAAAAATTAGCTATATAAAAATAGTTAGTTTTCTTTTAACCTTAATGAGATCCGTACAGATTTAACAAAATTCTTCATTGATCTGAATGTTCTGAGCATGAGATATCCTGGCAGTTGTTAGCTTATTCTTAACCAATTAATGTATTTATTCAAGACCTTATTAGAATGTTTACTAGATCTGTACGGTGCAGTTCACGTTGATCCATGGATTATTAGATGAGCCTCCTTTTTCATATAAGATATAATTCAAAATAATCTTCTCTGGCAAAAAAGTATTCTTCTATTTGGTAAAAATGGTTCAGAAAACCATATTTTATTTTCTTTCCAGCTGCTCTTTCAGCTCATCATTGACCACTTGTCTGACTTCAGTTTTACTCCAGCGGTTTTTGAGATGATAACAGAGCAGCTAAAAAAGACTTACTTTAATATTCTGATCAAGCCAGAGATGCTGGCCAAGTGAGTGTCTGTGAGAAGGCTAATTAGATAAACTATAGTGGAATTAAATTTAACATTTGTGTATGGGGGGAAAATGCCAAAGAAGCCCACCGCTGTATCATTTAACTTCAGAAAGGGGAACTACATAGAAATGAGGAAGCTAGTTAAATGGAAGTTGAAAGGCACAGTCATAAAAGTGAAATGCCTGCAAACTGCACAGAAACTTTAAAAAAACACCATAATAGAGGCTCAAATTAAATGTATACCCCAAATTAAAAAACATAGAGGACCAAAAAAGTGCTACCATGGCTAAACAACAAAGTGAAAGAAGCGGTTAGAGGCCAAAAGGCATCCATTAAAAATTGGAAGTTAAATCCTACTGAAGAAAATAGAAAGGAGCATAAATTCTCACAAATCAAGTGTAAACGCACAGTTAGGCAGGCCAGAAAAGAATTTGAAGAGCAACTACCTAAAGCCTCAAAGATTAAAAGTAATTTTTTTTTTTAAGTACTCCAGTAGCAGGAAGCCTGCCAAGCAATCAGTGGGGCCACTGGATGATCAAGGTGCTAAAGGAAGATAAGGCCGTTGTGGAGAAGCTAAATTAATTCTTTGCATCGTTCTTCACTACAGAGGCTGTGAGGGAAATTCCCACATCTAGGGCATTCTTTTTCAGTGACAAATCTGAGGAACTGTCCCAAATTGAGATGTTAGTAGAGGAGGTTTTGAAACAAATTGATAAAGTAAACAGTAAAAAGACACCAGGACCAGATGGTATTCACCCAAGAGTTGTGAAGGAACTCAAATATGAAATTTCAGAACCGCTAAGTGTGGTATGTAAATCCGCTTCTGTACCAGATGACTGAAGGATTGCTAATATGACACCAATTTTTAAAAAAAGGTTCCAGAGGTGATCCTGGCAATTACAGTACAGGCCGGTAAAGCTAACTTCAGTACAAGGCAAATTGATTAAAACTATAGTAAAGAACAGAAGTATCAGACACCTAGATGAACTGGATTGGTTGGGGAAGAGTCAACACAGCTTTTGAACAGGGAAATCATGCCTCAGTTTATTAGAATTCTTGGAGGGGGTCAACAAACATCTGGACAAGGGTGATCCAATGGATAGAGTGTACTTGGCCTGTCAGAAAGCCTTTGACAAGATCCCTCACCAGAGGTTCTTAAGCAAAGTAAGCAGTCCTGGGATAAGAGGGAATGTCCTCTCATGGATCAGTAATTGGTTAAAAGATAGGAAACAAAAGGTAGGAATAAATGGTCAGTTTTCAGAATGGAGAGAGAGAGGTAAATAGCGGTATCTTCCAGGGATCTGTACTGGGACCAGTGCTGTTCAACATATTCATAAATGATCTGGAAAAGGGGGTAAACAGTGAGATGGCAAAATTTGCAGACAGTACAAAATTATTCAAGATAGCTAAGTCCAAAGTAGATTGCAAAGAGTTACAAAGGAATCTCACAAAACTGGGTGACTGGGCAACAGGCTGGAAGATGAAATTCGGTGTTGATAAATGGAAAGTAATGCACATTGGAAAACATAGTCCCAACTATTCATACAAAATGATGGGATCTAAATTAGCTGATTTCAAGAATGAGATCTTGGAGATGATATAGATATTTATCTGAAAACAATCCTCAGTGTGTAGCAGCAGTCAAAAAAGCTAACAGAATTTTAGGAATTACTAGGAAGGGGATAAATAATGAGACAGAAAATATCATAATGCAATTATATAAACCCATGGAATGCCCACACTTTGAATATTGAATGCAGTTCTGGTCGTCCCATCTCAAAAAAAGATATATCAAAATTGGAAAAGGTACAGAGAAGGGCAACAAAAATGATTAAGTATATGGAACAGCTTCCATCTGAGGAGAGATGAAAAAAGCCTGGGCATTTTGAGCTTGGAAAAGATACGAGTGAGGGGGGAATATGATAGAAGTCTACAAAATCATGAATGGTGCGGAGAAAGTGAGCGATGTGGTGTTTACTTCTTCACATATCACAAGAACCAGGGGTCACCCAATGAAATTAGTGGGCAGCATGTTTAAAACAAACAAAAGGAATTCTTCACACAACGCACAGTCAACCTGTGGAGCTCATTGCCTGGGAAAGTTTGAAGGCCAAAATTATAACGGTGTTCAAAATAGAATGCAAGTTCCTGGAGGATAGGTCCATCAATGGCTATTAGCCAAGATGATCAGGGCTCCAATCCAATGCTTTGGGTGTCCCTAGCCTCTTGACTGCCAAAAGCTGAGAGAGGACGACTGGTGATGGATCACTCAATGATTGCCTGTTCTGTTTATTCCCTTTCAAACACCTGGTATTGGCCACTGTCAAAAGACAGGATACTGGGCTAGATGGACTACTGGTCTGACCCAGTATGGCCGTTCTGTCAAAGTTTGACTCAGACTCACAATTTATCAGACCACTCTGTTTTATTAGCAAAGCTGCTCTGCTAATAATACGTTTAGAAGTGAGCCCCCCGAGTGGGGCTTGTGTCTTTTGATTTATACAGTTTTTTGGAGAACAAGTTACAGAGAAGTTACAGACAAAAGAAGAAAAAGATTTTAGTCACCACCCTTCGAGATCCCTGAGACTAGTCACGTATCTTCAATTACCTGCCACCCTTAACAATCTCCTTTAACAGCTTCCAGTTAACTAATTGCCCTTCACACCTTCCATTCTGATGCCTGCTTCTTAGACGTGCTGGCTCTATCTTAATTGCTTCTCCATTCAAAAGCTAACTGTCCCTACGTGTGCTCCCTCAGATACTTTGTAACATGTTTTGGCATGCCCTCTCATATACAATGTATTCAGCATGTCCCCTTATACAATGTTATACTTCCACAATCCCCCCTTTTGGTCAAGGCTACACCCATGACCAATGACTTACTGGATTCCATACATCAATCGTTCTTTTTCATTACTTTCACTGGTGACATTTAACAACATTAGATTAGCACTCTGGTTAGGGGTAACCTGATGGATGGTGTGTCTTGTGCAGTTTTGGATACAACAAGAAATCAATTGAAAACGCACAAAGATTATTAGAATTCCAAATAGGATAGTCAGGATTCCTTGAAACAACCAGTTTCCCAGACTAGAGAAATTGAATAAGTTACTTATCCATTTCCACAAGGAACTTGGTTCTTCGTGGGGAAGGTATGCAATTTGCTCCAGATGGCTAGCACGATTTATTACCTCATTAGTATTATCAGATATGTATACACAGCATTCTGTTCCAATTAGAGCACAGGTCCCTCCTTTGGCTGCCAGTATTATATCTAATGCCCGACGGTTTTGGAGGGCCACTTGTCGGACCGCTCCTGCTTCTTTGGCTAGAGCTTTTAAGCTCTCTCCTGTTTCATTGGCCATGATCTCAACCACCGCTTGTAACCTTAAAAGCCTTTTTGCATGGTGGATTACCCCCCCTACTGCGACTAAAGAAATGCCAACAGCTTCTTCCCAAGTTAGGGGCTTATGTTATCCACATACCATTTAGCATCTGGCAAGTCCCTCCTTTTTCGCCTGAAATTACGGAGGCGATTTCGTGAGAGGGATTGAAGCACCCGGAATTGTGGGAAAAGCTGAGCAGGATAACAGATACCTGACCAATTTGCTGGTAACACAGTGTAAGCATTTTCCCCACAAACCCAATGATGTCCCATTAAAGCTGGGAAGGGTTGACTGCAACCCTTTGACATGTAAGAATTTACCAAGGAGGAATAGTATCCCCCAAAGGGCACAGGATGATTTTCACTGGGAGAAGAGGTAGCATTCACATGACATTTGTAGATGGTGCTGTTTTTCTCAGGGAGGCTGTAGGGGGAGCAAGAGATTGAATCTTTGGTTTGATCCCAGGTTGAGAGGAAGTTTATCTTTCCATACCCGGTTCGCAATTCTCCAACCTTGTTTGAATAGTCCCATACACCATGGGACACGATGTATTGGAGACAGCTGCTCCTCCCTAGATTCAGCCCTGTCCCATTACACACCCAGCACCAGTGGCCCTTTCCTTTCACCACACTTATAAGTTTAGGAACATATGTTTTTCCCAGCCCCCAAGTGTCATTTTCCTTCCATGTCCTTTTAAGTGGATAGGGTTCTCCAGCAAGCTCTGAGGCATTCAAAGGGATTGCCATGGTGGGGATACTAGCTTGTGAGTGAGCTGGGATGTGGCTGCAGACCCAGCAATTAGAAATATTCAGGATCTGGGCTATCTGCACCTGTTGTTGGATGAAAGAATTGTCACTGTCACTCTGGATTCCCCAGACCCTCAGGACACAGTAGCTGAGGATTAAGCTTCTCAAAGGACACATGTTGGAAGCAGGACCCTTTCTGGTTCCGACAACCCCTTTCGAGGGAACCGCAGTCACGGTTTTACATCCACCAGGCAGCAGACGCTAGGCTCACTACTGCTTCTTGTTTGTTGGGTCCTGCTGTCTGCTTACCCTCTGCTTCTGGCAACCCTTACGAGAGCGCAGATTGTAAGGTATTGCAGGCTGTTCCTCTTTGTCTTCTGGGGTTGAAGCTGGTTCTGTGTGGTCTTGCAGAGGTGCTTGGTCCCCTTGAGGTGGCGCTGGCTTACACTGTGAGGCATGGATCCATGCAGCGATGCCAGATAATTTCACTGCTGTCTGGGTGGGGAACAGTACTTGGTATGGACCCTTCCACCGGGGTTCCAAGGCGTGCTTCCGAAGGTGGTGCCGCAGGTAGACCCAATCACCAGGCTCAAGAGTGTGACAGGCAGCAGAGGTGGGTTCCGTCGGCCAAGCTGCTCGCACCTGCGAATGGAAGGAGCTCACAGCTTGCATTAACCCTTTGCAGTACTGGAGGAGCGTGCTGTGAGTTAGGTTTAGGTCTGGGGCTGGGGTAATAGTAACCATTGTTCGCATAGGGCGTCCCATGATGATTTCAAATGGACTCAATTTGTGTCTCTGGGATGGGGTGTCCGAATTTCCATAAGGGCCAGTGGTAAAGCAGCTGGCCAGTTTAACCCTGTGGAACT